AACTGTGGCAAACCGTGCCGAATCGATTCGAGTAGGTACTAATGGAAGGGGCGTATGTATTCCTTTGACCTGCCTCCTTCTGCCCTCCTCCCCTCGCCTTCACAGATGGCTGCCCCACTCTGATCCCGGATCAGCTCGTGGGGGTCGTGTGATTGTTGGGTTTTCTCCTGTAGAGTTTATCTCGCAGTATAACGCCCCTCCAGGTGACTGTTGTTGTCATTTGGTGCTTTATAATAAACATGAATCTGCCAGTTCTCCCTGTGCTGACTCAGTCTGCAGTTCTGCTTCTTGAAGTTTCTGTGCTTTTGTCTTCAGTTTGTTGTCCTGATTGTCCAGCCTTACTGTGTCCCTGACATTTTGCTTGATTTTGTGTGTGCAAGCTTCAAACTGCTGCAGTGCCTTTTTATTTCCTGCGTTTCTTCCCAAAGCTTTAATTCATCCATGACTCCTTCCTCTGGAGTCTTGCTGTCGTCCGGCTGCTTTGGCTTAAAGCAAACGGTCTCTGTCTCTGATGTGCTTCCTGTTCACGACTGCCGATACAACACGTGGACTTCCAGAAAGTACATGAAGGTGTTTCCCACAAACATTACCAGGAATGACTTCACCTGATAACAGCGCTTTGGTGGGATGATAACTCTCACCACGGGTGGCCCAGATTCTACAAACTACACGTGTCAGGAAGTTTGTTTCTGGGCCAGAGGCTGGACCATCAGCCCCACGTGGTCTGCAGTCATGCACTGATCTGTTCCCTTACAGTTATCACACAGTACAAAACATTACAGATAATGTAGTGTGAAACTGAAAGTAAGGCCTGCGCCTGACAGCACACGTGTTCTGGGTGCTGTTTTTCTGTTTGTCAGTGGTTTACTTTCCACTCAGACCTTCATGTGTTTATTTGTGTTTTTCACTTTAATCCCAGTTATTGCAAACCACAACAGGTTCAGCTTTAGGAAAGAGTCTGGTGTTCCACATTCACAATACATTAATGACTACTAACCAACCAA